AGTCTAGAACTAGGAATGGAAGGTCAAGATTGTCTGATTGTCTGGTTAAGGGTGGATTCAAGCTTGTGCTTTCCCAGTTGAAGCTGGAGAAAGAAGTTTTAAATAAAAATTATCAATGAGACCTGACTCAAAGACACAGTTCTAGGACACAGATTCAGAACACAGTTCCAGGACAGTTCCAAGAGACATCTAGGGGACAGGTATCCTCCAATCTGTCCCCCAAGTTTGGGTCCACTCTTAACTAAATTTAAGAGTCAGGTTGTTTTATTCCATTATTAACTGTAATGTGGCATACAGCAACTGGCTGGCTGCCTTTTTAGCTTACATAGTACCTTCTGATTAATACTAGACTTTAGAAAGGAGGCTCCAAGGTGTGTTCAAACTCAATTGATCCCAAGTCTTGTGTACAAAGCATGTGGCATCTTCAGCAATAGGGTCTTACATTCAAGTTTTGGGAGGCAACCAAGAGTTATGGCAATAGCCTATATTATTTTGGGAGTCTTTTGGAAAACCCTGGGCAATAACATGAAAGGAGGTTTCCCTTGCCTGGTAATGTAATTTTTGTTATTTTTCACTAGGTTTATGAAATAATACATTTCCTTATGGTTTTTCTATACCACCTATGTATTCTTCATCTCTCTTCCTCTTCCCCTGTATAATCCTCCCTCTCCCTCCCCAGTACTCCTACCCATTTTCTCACGCGTGGTACTGTAGACCTAGCCAAGAATACATGGTTGGGGAGGTCATAGACCCTAGAGAAGAACATATTACTGGCACTTTCCTAAACTAACATAATTTCCTACCATATTCAAAATATGTATCCTTTTATTCACATACACATGTAGTTCTCAACACCCATTAAATAAGCTTCTTTTTGCAACAGACAGAGACTATATAAAGTTCCAGAACTGGTAAAAATACAGGAAGGAGTAAGTGATTGTGGGTTTCCCAGCTCTAATTGATACACTTAGAATGCAACCTCTACATCGAAGACTCAGGGACCATGGAAGAGGGCGTGAAAAAAATTGGAAGAGCCAGAGGAATAAGATAGTGACTGCTAGGTTAATTCATTGTGGATAGAATAGGGAAGCACTGAAATCTTCACAGTATGATATGCATAATGACAACATCAATTGACATGCCAGGGTGGATGGGGAAATTTCATGGGGTCCCACCTCTAGAAATCAAGGGTTGTTGAAGGAAGGAGAATCAGTTTTCTTCAGGATCTAGTTCCATGAGAGGCTATCTAATTCCATGTGGGCAGCTCTAACCACATGTACACACAAATACCTCTAAATAGACTCAATGCATAATATATATTATATATAATATATGTGTGTGTAAATATACTTATAAATTTTTTATGTATGTATATGTAACAATAATACAGAAGAGGACAAGAAATTGAGAAGGAGTTGGGGGGGAACATTGGAGGGGTTGGAGGGAAACCAGGAGGGGTGGAAATGATATAAATACAATACTCATATACTAGATTCTCAAAAAAAAATTAAAAAGGAAAGCTCTATAAGCTTCTCTTGAAATTCATATAGAAATACAAGCCATCCTAAGTAGTTTAATCAAAATAATCTTCAAAAGAAAAAATATTTACATTTCCAGATTTTAAGCCTTACTAGAAAACTATCATAAACAACATATTGTCATAATGACATGAAGACAGACATACTTCAATGGAATAGAATTAAGAGTCCAAGCATCTATGGTCAAGTGATTCTGAAGCAATACACTGAGATCATTTAATGGAGAAAGAACAATGTTTTTAAATATGTGGTGTGGGACAACCAAACATATAGTTAGAACAAGTTACCACATAATATATATTAGCTCAAAGATCTAAATGTAAATAGCTAAAACTGTAAAAAGAATAATTTTTTTTGGTCTTTTTGAGAAAGGGTTTCCTTGTAGCTCCAACTGGCCTGGACTCACTATGTAGATCAGGCTGATCTTGAATTCATAGATATTTGCCTGCCTCTGCCTCCCAAGTGCTGGAATTTAAGGCATGTGCCACCATACCCAGCTCTAAAACTAAAACTTTTAAAGTGAAACATAGATATAAATCTCCTTGCGCATGAAAACAGCACACCCAAATCACCAGGCTTTGGGAAAAAACAAATATAGGGGAACTGAATTTAACCACATTTAAAAATGCTTTCTGTTTCAAATGACACTACCAAGAAGATGAAAAGACAAATTAGAGGATGAGAGACAGTATTTATGCATCATGTATCTGATGAGGGTCTAGTGCTGGTTACAAAGTTTTTCTAGAAAATTCTCATTACCCAACAACAAAAATACATAATTTTAAAAGAAGGAATTTGAGCAGATAGTACGTCAAAGAAATAGCCAATAATTACAGATAAAGATACTAAGTAGCATCAGTCTTTAAGGAAATGCAAATCAAAACTACTTCATATCAAAATCTTTGGCTGAAATTTCATCCTATGAAAGTAGGACACTTTAGTTGTTTTGGTGTTTTACCACTCATAGAACTGACCACTCTATAAATTCTATGAATTCTGAATAACCACTTTCTTCTACAAATGCAATGTCCATATCCTTTGTTCTGTGTGATTTGGGTGTTCAGCATATATTCTCAATCGTATCTTATGAAGCATATATTGTCCATTGGATTCCATTAAGCATGACATGTGGTAACTAAAACATCATGTCAGACTTTATGTCAGATAACCTCAAACCACTTGCCAGATAGCTGCCAGTTGAATATCATCTACTGCGGAAAACAGGGTCTGACTGCTCTCTGATGGTTCTCTCCTGTTACCTACACAATTACAAGACTACTATTCCTATACTGCTGCAATTTTGTCACTCTCCTTGATTACAACCAGCTAAAGGTGTTCTACCAAACCCTTCTACCTTAACCTTGATTCAGGAAACAGTTCTATTATTCCTCCATTTTCTTAAGGCTTTATTTGAAGGATGATTCAGTTCTTTTGCATGCACAATTTATCACCAAATATAAAGAAATGTCACAAAGTGTCACAATTGAGATTACTTTGTCTATTAGAATTTACTGCAATATGAGGTGGTCGTAGTGATTTACATCTGTGTTTCTGTAAGTCTTTTGCTTCAGTGATGTGTCTGTTTTATTTCTAATGGTGTCTGGCACTATATTCAAACAATATTGCCCAACAGTCTAAGTGCTCTCAGACAGCATCAAATGAACAAACGATGACTCAGGGTACATGTCCTGTCCTTGTCAGAAATGATTTCTCTGGCTGGTATTAAAGATTTTGCTTTGACTGAAGTAAATTCTTGGCACGAAGAAGATGATACATGGGTTCCAAGGAGGAAGCATCACAAGTTTGAGAAGAGAGAAGACAGAACATAACATGGTACAATCAAATTGTCCATCATTATTATTTACAGCAGGGATTAAATTTATTTTTACATTATGATTTTAGAAGTGGTTAAAGAGGTAAAACCATTTGGCAAAATGTATTTCAAAAATTCCCTTCATACTTCACTAAAATTGCAGGCAAATAATGCACAACAAGCATTTTTAGAGGAAAAATGACAATACCGAAAAAAGTTAATAATTGCTTTTATAAATTAAGTTAAAGCAATAAAAATAGTCATAATACAATGTATGATGAATATACCCATTTGAGTCATTACTAGTGAGAAGGGAACATCCTATTCTCGCCTGAGGGATCTATTCAGGCTGATATTTGACCCAAAGAATAGCCTAGATTTACAACAAAGGTACCGAACTTTAGAAGTCTGAAGAAATAGCACATCACATTTATCTTAATTATTTAGTTTCTAGAGAAACAGGACCTTAATCACCTGTCACCTACTAATCAATGTATTGCCTATAATATAGCCTTCAATGGTTTTTAGTGACATGCTGAGGACAAACAAGTTTTGTCCTTTTGAGTGATTTTTGCTTACTTAATAGTTTTCTCCTTGACAAAGATCTGTGCTATTTAAAATTGATGACTGTTTCCGCTACCCCTTAGAATGATTTGGCACAAGGCACACATTATAGTTTCCTCTTTCTGAGTGCTCCTGTTTTCTTTCTGTAGTATGCAATTTTCCTGTCTGCAAACAGGCAGGTAAATTAGATTTGATGAGCTCATAGGATTCAAGGTAGTCACTGGGTTTGCAAAGTATAAACTAAGCTTCTCCCAGAAAAAAAGTTGCACCTGTATTAAACATTGAAAACTGATTAGAACTTCAGTAATTGTGGGAAGCTGAAATGTTGCAGGTCCAGGTCAACTTATTTGGGGCTATCTTAACCCCTTGAATGACCATTTGTGGCTGTCTCTGTGTGTGACTTAACATTCTTGTGTTAGGTAAATCCATTTGGAATGTATGAAGTGATCCAGATCATCCTTCAACCTGAAAACTAAGAATGTCATCAGACAGGATCTGAGGCTGACAGCAAAGGCTTCTCGTTTTGCTGTAACTTGCCTATCTGATGTTCCCACCAATGTGTATAAAGGTGTCTTGATTTATGATTTTTTTTTTTTTGTCACTAAAATATTTCATGAAGCTGTTACACCACTGGAATGCAAAGTTTAGGCTAACAGAATCTTTGTTTCCTGGAAATGGTCAAGTATATTTGGCTCCAGAATAGAATAAACTCTTTTATTTTCTTTGAAGTAAGAGCTAGCTACTTTGCTATGCTGATTAAGGTAAACATGAAATAACTGGAGTAAAGTGATGGAGTAATTTACATTATTATCAATAAGCAACTAAAGTTATGCATGAGCATTACAGTTTTACAAGTGATATACAAATAAATGTAAGGAATCTACTGTAATTCATCCTCAGAGAAATTTAAAACACAACTACAAAATAGTGGCAAGTGGATGCCCCAGAAACTGAAGAGATAGTCCTGCTAAGAAGGGTAGCTGGCTTAGAGTGAGCTTCTCCCAGACCCTCTGGAGGCAGTGCGCATGCGCGGCGTCTTCCTTGGTCCCTTCCTGCGCTTGGGTCTGCATCCGGGTCTTTGGGCTTCCTTGTTGCTCACCTGCTGGGGTCGCTGGCGGGTTGCTGGGTGTTGCTAGTTCCAGCTGCTCGGCGTCAGGAGAGCCGGTAAGCTCCGCCGGTGAGTTTAGGGGTGCAGCTCCCCAGAGGGCTGGGACGGGGCCTGGGGCGCACGTCGCACTGGGGCTCGGTGCCCAGTGGGGCGCGGGCCCCCGGCTGGGGCGTGCAGCCTGGATGCGCTCGCAGCAGGCAGGACACCCTTCCGAGGCCGTTCCCGGCCCGCTGTCCTCCCACGGCTGCCCACGCTCCGCCGATGCTCCCGCCCGAGGCAGCCACTGTAGCTCGCAGGCCGGCAGCCGAGGAGCTCCGGGCGGGGCGCGAATCTCCGCCTGGGTCCTCCCCGCCAGCTCGGCCACCTGCCGAGCAGGGCATCGCCACCTTCTCTGGCCAAGGTGTGGGGTGCTGCTGAGGCTCGGGCGGAGGGTCAGTGTTCTACTCGGCTAACTTCCACTGCTGAGCTGTGGAAGTTACGTGGCGTAGAAGTTCCCACCCAGATCGAAGTTCTGAGGCTTGGGTTCAGGTGTCTTTTCCCCCAGGGATGCAAGGAGCAAATGAATCAGCACCTGAGACAGGCCTAGAGCCGCTTTGGTTTAAATGCTATCTGGTCAGGATGCCAGAAGTTGCCAAAGGCATTGGTAGTTTAGGTCGGGATGAATGGCAAAAACTGGAAAAGTCACGTCTTAAAAACCTAAATTAATGTATTAGAAGACATTCTTTGTCTTGAGGACGATTCATTCAGGAGTTTTGAAGGCGAACTTTGTGCTTGCTGTCAGTTGAAAACCGCACGCAACTTGCCTGCACCGTTCTTCCGAGAGATTTGCTTGAAACTTTGTTATTGAAATGGATAATGTTCTGTTTTCATTTTAGCCCATCTTAGAATAACCTACATTTGTACAGATTTCTTGAACTCCATTTCAAAATTTGTTGGAACACTGTCCAGGGAGAGGGAGAGGAGCGTGAGTCTGCTTTTAACACGTATCCTAAGTGATTCCCAGCGGATAAGGCATATTTGAAACATGGGTCTTTGTATCAGGTACAGTTGGTTATAAGTTCAGCTCCATCTAAAACTTAACTAGGTTTATAACTTAAGCAGTTTACATCTTGAAATTGCAGTTTCTGCTTCTGAAAAGGGGGATTAATTTTCAACACCAGAACATACTGAGTGGATCAAATGCCCCTTAATAATAGGGTCCATAGCATCAAATTTGTGTATGTAGAGGCTAGCTTAATGCTTAACACAGAATTAAGCCCTAGTGACTGTGATGAGTAGAGCAGAGAAAAAGATGCCCAGGATAGATCATATACTTCTTCTTACAGTCTTTTCTTTTTGTTGTTTCCTGAATAGTCTTATTAGAAGTGAATATATCTTTTGATGGCTTTTGATGGCCAGCAGTTGTTTGGATTGTTTGGTATAATTCTGGTTTTTTTTTAAGATTTTATTTTTATTTTTAATTATATGCATACATGTGGGTCTGTGGGTGGGTATGTGCATGTTGAGTGCAGGCACCTGTGAAGGCCAGAGGTGTTGGATCAGGAACTGGAGTTAAAGGTGGTTGTGAGCCACCCTCTGTGGTTGCTGGGAACTGAACCCCAGTCTTATGCAAGAGCAGCAAGTGTTCTTAACCACTGAAACCCCCGAGGTTATTTTGGACGTTAAGTTTTGATATACTTAAATTGAGGCTGAGTTCACTTGTTGACCTGAAGTTTGCTATGTAATTTCTTTTCTATAAATGCTGTTTACCTCTTGTTATTGTTCCAGAATTCTAGATTATGATCATAATTGATAGAATTCTAAATCATGTTCTAAGGATGTCATTTTGTTTCCATGCATTCATTGTAGTGAGACCTTCTGTTTCGGTTAGCTTAAAACATTTGATTTAGTGTTCTCTGTAAAAGTGTGAGGATACAGAACAGGGATGCTGAAGCCACTGTACCACCGAAGGGTTGCTGTTGGCAATTTATCTGTTTAAATGTAAAACTGGGAATTTAAGTCTGAGAATTGTGGGCCTGGCTTGGTGCCACACGCCTTTTAATCCCAGCACTTAGGAGGCAGAGGAAGGTCAATCTTTGTGAGATGGAGGCCAGCCTGGTTGACATAGCAAGTTTCTAAACCAGCTTGAGCTAGGGGGGTCGGGGGAGGAGTAGGAACCCTGTCTCAAAAAAGCAAAACAAAAAAACAAAAGCAGTGAACCTCAGAATTGTGGTTATAGGTTATAGTACAAATGTTACTAGTGTAAAAACATTTTTACATCAATCTGGGTGTGGTAGTATAATAATGCTGATTTCTGTACCTTTCTTGGTGGTAGATCTGTCTACAACGCTCATCTCTTAATATTTATATAATGAATTTTTCTTAAACTTAATCATTTAGGAACTAAAATAGCTTTTCATGAAGAATATTTTCCCCCAGAGGCCAGCGGTTTCACTAGTTTGCTTTCTTTTTCTTCTGAATCTTTGTGAAAAATATGTGTGGTGTGATCTCATTCTTAAAAGCTCTTCCTCTGCATCCTGTGTATATATGTGCATTAGCTAACTGAATGATGTGGAACTACTAATAATGAGAATTATCTCTGAGTGGTGACACTTCAACATTTTTAACAGGAGGAAAAATTGATTTTTATGGTATTTATAAGGACAATTCTAGATTTTAGTAACTCAGAGTTGCTAAGTCATTACTGCAGTTATTTTGTACTTAATGAAGCATGCTGTCTTCAGGGATGTTTCATGTTGCTTTAGTAAGAGTATATATTATATATGGTGTATACAATGTCTTCATTTGAATTTTAATTCTGCTGGGCCACTTAACCTGTGTAATCACAGGCAAAGTGTGTCAGTTCATTTTCTTTTCTAAAATGAGCATTGTATTTACTTCACAAGAATGATATAAGGACTAGTACATGCATTTAAATGACCTAACCCACTGCCTAAAGCTAGCTCAAATGAGAATGGCTGTCACTACTATTTCACAAGTATAGGTTTTATTTTTATATGTATATGTTCTTCTTAAGTAATGTCCTTTAATAAATCAATATATTTCACTCTGAGTGTATAAAAAATGTGTAAAGTACTCTACAATGGAATTTTCACAGGTTTGAACAGCTTGTGCTGAAAACTGTGCATCACCAATAATGAGGCTTGTAATTCTTGATAACTATGACTTGGCCAGTGAATGGGCAGCCAAATACATCTGCAATCGTATCATTCAGTTCAAACCTGGACAGGACAGATATTTTATACTGGGCTTACCAACAGGTAATAATAATCCACTTTTCATATTTTACTCAGAATATCTAAGGTTTTGGAATTAATAGGATTCCTTTTAATTATTTGTATGTCACTGAACATATTAGTATATAAGGTCAGAAAAATGTGGAGTTGGTTATAGTATCTACATATTGATTCTGTTTGTATTAAAACTCTATTTCACCTACTCCAAAATGCAGTAGGAAATACCTTAATTTAAATGTTGTCATAATATTTTTGTGCCTTTTTCTAGTGCTCCTTTGTTCCATTATTCATATATTTATTCACAGCTGAGCTTTCTTATTAATAATAGGTAAAACCTAAAGTATGCACTGTTACTCTGAATTTCACCTTACTTGCCTCATGGGCTCTTGTTGGCTTTTACTATTTATTTTCCTTCTGTTATAGAACTATTTTGGGTGCAAAGTTTAAAAAGTTCTATCTTTTTATCCAGAAATAAACCTAAACACTACTTAAATATTTTATTACATTTCGTTTTCTGGTAAGAATTGTCTCACAAAATGAACAGTAAGTATCATTTGTTCTTTTGGCACTTTCATGTTATTAACTTTTGATATTTGCAAAGAGCATCTGAATCAGAACTGTTTTTAGTGATTGTAATGAGTTTATTCTACATACCTTGAGGTTTGACTTCCTTACATGCAAGAAAGATTTAACATCATCATCATCATGCTGGCTTAAAATTCTGATTTGAGACTCAGTGTATATGCACATTGTTTATATAAATGTAAGCTTCTCATAAGTATATTATTTAAATGCCTTTCCCATGATGCTCCTCCCACATAGTTCAACTACATAAAAGTTACAGTCATTATTGTTTTTGCTTTGGCAATTTCTACGAATGATATTTTTCTAGATGATTTGGATGGTTTGTTATTTTTCTCTTTTAGTCTGGGGCAGAAGATTTTGGTGAGAATTACAAAGAGAGATTTTTGTGAAATGGGTATAGTAAGTGCCACACTCAGCAGGTTTCTGTCATGTGGCTTTGATGGGAACAAGTGTTTGCATACTATAAATGACTTACACTTAGGCTACCTATATTAATCATATTGTTTTAATTATTACCCATAAAAATAGATAAATAGTAATTTGAGTGCAGATACAGAGAGGCTCCAGGATTCCAGTTGTTAGTGACTATTAGAATTTTTTTTTTTTTTGTCCTTTTTGAGACAGGGTCTTCCTGTAGATCCAACTGGCCTGGAACTCACAGTGTAGATCAGGCTAGCCTCAGAATTCACAGAGATCTGCCTGCCTCTGCCTCCCAAGTGCTGGGATTAAAGGAGTACACCACCATGCCAGACTTGGACATATTTTTGTGTATTTAAATTTGCACCTTTTTTTGTAGCATGCCTGTTTACTAGCACGCCTGTCAAGGAATTATATGTGAAAAGCATTTGTTGCCATTTTATATTCTTCCCCTTTATTGTCCACTGACACCTTTAGTTATGTTTTCTCCCTCTTCCTCCACTGCTTCTGAAACTGGAACATGCGTATCTGTGGTTGGAGGCAACATCCTGTATATTAATTATTCTCTCACCAAGCACAGTCTCTGTAGAGTGTGTGTATATTTTTTAAGTGAGCTATTTATATAAGGATTTTTATATTGTGGCCTGATCTTCCCCAAACCTTATTTCCACCTTTCCTCTCCATGGAATTGAGCTGCAGGTGAATTGAACTGCTTATGCTCAAAGAATGGGCCTGAATGTTCTACCTCTTTTCACTCATGTTGCTGCAGTGCTCTGTCTTTGAGTTTTAGGCCTAGACATATCTGGATTTGAATCCCTGGCTTCATTACCGCCTGCTATTTCGTAGATTCTTTCATCTTTTTGACCCAGATCTTACATATTCAATAAGAAAGATTCCACCATTTCCCAAGGTTTCACCCAGGTAATGTGTGAAAATACCTGCAGAATGCCTGGCCACATGGTAAGCATGCAGATGTTACCTTTTGACCTCTTCCTCATTCTTTGCTTTTTTAAATTACAGATCACCCTATCATTGTCAGAATTCCAGCCCTTCTTCTTGTCTTAATGACATGCCATCTTTTTTTTTAGATTGTTCCTCTAACAAGGAAGACTGTTGTATTTTTTCTTTGGTTCACTGTCATATGTTAAAACTCTTCTAGGTTTTTACATTTTTCTTTGTGTCAGAGTTTTATACTTCACATCAATGTATGGTGAGTTCTTTTTAGAAGAAGTCCTGTTAATCTTTGACTCATAGAAGGCACTTGCTAAATGTTGCTTTTGTAGTAAATGAGTATTATAAAGAAACTAATAAAATGGAATGTCTCTAACAGTGGCTCAGTGCCATCTCTTTCAGTTTTTCTTTAACCACAATGATTAAAAATTAGAAAATTACTTTCCTCTTCCTCACCACCATTGTAGCAGTTTCTCACTTAGTATTTTATTTTATTTGTGCTTTTTGAGACAAGGTCTCTCTGTAGCCCCAGCTGGCCTGAAACTATGTAGAGCCGGTTGACCTTGATCTTCCAAAGGTCCGCCTCCCTCTGCCTCCCTATGGTAGGATTAAAGGCATGCACCACCATACCGAGCCTAACTTCTCACTTTTTAAATATATTCATTTATTTTATATGTATGAGTGTATTTCCTGCATGTGTGTAAGTGCACCTGTGTTGTGCAAAGCCTGCAGAGGCCAGAAAAGGGCGTTGGATCCCCCAGAACTGGAGTTACACAGACAGTTGTTAGCTGCATGTGGGTTCTGGGAATCAAACCCAGGTCCTCTGGAAGATCAGCAAGTGTTCTTAACTGATGAGCCATCTCTCCAGCCCCAACTTCACACTTTTTAAAAAATTCCTATGACCTTCAATCGAGTGACTCATAACTCTATGCTTCTAGAAAGGAAGAAGAGAAAACACAGTTAAATATGGCAGTTTTCATACTAATGGGCTATAGATATTTGAAAAAGAACTCTGATATTTAATCACATGGCTTTTACATTATTATTATTGGTTTAACATATGCTTAGCTTTATGAAGATCTCTGAACATATGTGGTATTTATTATTTATGGCAACTTCTATTCTGTCATCTCAAATAAATGAGAGGCAGTCTACTACTGAGTGTCCCTTCCTTGTTGTTTAAGACAGAGACTGTTTAGTCTAGCAGATGTCTAAATAACTACTTAGATCTACTACTTCAGGAGATGTGTGTGTGTGTGTGTGTGTGTGTGTGTGTGTGTGTGTGTGTGTAGTGCATTTTGGTTTTGCGTTGTGATAATGGATGGACTAGGAATCTGAATCTACTCCAGCCAGGACAGAGAGGGTTAACTCATGTGTTAGGAAGAGCACATGCCTTTCGCTTTGTAGTAATAATAGCAAATTTAGGGAGAGAGGCCTTCACAAGTAGGTAAATTTGTCTATCTTCCTTGTGTCATATCAGGAAGCACAACCAAACAAATCTCTTGCTGAATTAATCAACTAATTTCACAGAATATAAAATCAAATAATCACCTTATGAAATAGTAAAATCTAGTGCTCAGATGAAGCGTCAGTGGCAAAGGCTCCCTAGAAATCCGCTCTGTCTTAAACGTGCTACACTTTTCTTTCTCACTCTTGCCTCTTAAGGAATCAGGCTGAAGGTAAACAGGAAGTGAGAAACAGGAGTGCAAACTAAAAACATTTTTTTTTCAGTCCTTCATCAGTTTTAGAGTCAACTTTCAAAATAGGGACAATACTTAAATTTAGCTCTGTTTTCTCTTTCGGTGAGTACTTACCAATTTATGCATCAGTTATGTTACAACTCATCTTTTTTTCAGCAAGTGGAATGTTTTTCTTTTCATTCAATGTGTCCTCTGATTTAATTTTATAATCTGCAGTAGCAATTCCAAATACTGAGAACACCTCAGGAATAATGTTTCAAGCTTTAGTTTTTTGTTAAAATATTTTGGTGGATTTCCAGCTTTATTGATCAAATTGTGGTTTAATAAAGTTTCAAGATATCCCGAAATGAAACTAATTCACACTCTTTTTGATAATTGAATATGTATTTAAGTTAATGATTGTTTACCCCTAATTTGAAACATAGAACATAATAGAAAGTATAATTAAAAAAAAAAGATTTTCAAGTTATATCAGAGAAGCTATCTTTATCTGTTTTAGGGAGCACACCTTTAGGATGCTATAAAAAACTAATAGAGTATCACAAGAGTGGAAACCTTTCCTTTAAATATGTGAAGACTTTTAATATGGATGAATATGTAGGTAAGATATATTCAAGTGTTTTATATTACATTTTGAATAAAGTATCTTTAGAATATTTATATATTTGTGTTTTAAATTAATATGGATCTATTTCTAGACTGCTCTGTACTGCTTTGTGATGAGATTTGGAACTTTAAAAAAAAATCTGCATTTGGAGAGCCAGAGAGGTGGCTCAGCAGTTAAGAGCACTGGCTTCTGTTGTAGAGGACCTGGGCTCTGTTTCCAGAACCCACCTGGTGGCTCACAACCATCTATAAATCCAGTTCCAAGGGTCCAACGCCCTCTCCCAGACACTAGGTACACAGGTGTGGTACATCCATTCATGCAGGCAATTACTTATACGTAAAATAAAACAAATATTTCTTTAAAAAACTTTTTTTTTAAGTCTGTGTTTGTGTGATGATAGCACAGGATGATAGAGTGAATACAAGACTAGAAATCAGAAAAATCTGCATTCACCAGGGACTCTGCCACTTACCTCCTCTATAACTTTGAACATTAGTTCCTTCAAAGTTCAACCATTCTCTTTATCTCCCCCAACCTGTCCCTCCTTTTCTCTCTCCTTCCTCCTGCTCTCCTTTTCCTTCTGCTTTTAACTCTTCTCTTTCCCTTCTTTCCTTTAAAAAATATTTATTATTTTTATTTTATGTATGCATGTATTGCCTGAATGTACAGAAGTGCACCCATATCGCACAATAACCACACATGTCAAAAGAGGGTTAGGTTCCCATGGAATTGAATTTACAGAGGGTTGTTAGCTGCCATGTGGGTGCTGAGAATGGAACCCGGGTTCCCTGCAAGAGCAGCCAGTGCTCTTTACTACTGAGTCATCTCTTCAGCCCCCTTCCTTTCTTTCCTTAAGGTAAATTAAAACCAGTGTTGTTAGAGGCTGTAGAGATGGCTCAGTGGTTAAGAACACTGACTGTTCTTGCAGAAGACCTGGGTTCGAATCCCAGCACCCACATGGCAGCTAACAACTGTCCATAACTCCAGTCCCAGGGATCCTACAGCCTCTTCTGTCCTCCGTGGGCATTGTATGACACAGGTGCACTTACCTACATGCAGGCAATACATGCATACATATAAGATAAAAACAATAAATAAAATATTTTTAAAATAAAGTGTTATGAAAAATTAAGTGATGGGCTGGAGAGATGGCTCAGTGGTTAAGAAAACTGACTGTAACTCCAGTTTAAATATTTTATTATTTTTATTTTATGAGTATACGTGTATTGCCTGTATGTAGGTAAGTGCACCTGTGTCCTGCAATGCCTGAGAAGGACAGAAGAGGCTGTCAGATCCCCTGGAACTGGAGTTACAGATGGGTATTAGCTGCCATGTGGGTGCTGGGATTTGAACCCGGGTCTTCTGCAAGAACAGTCAGTGTTCTTAACTGCTGAGCTATCTCTCCAGCCCAATAAATAAAATATTTTTTAATTTTATTTATTTTTAAAATTTTATGTGTATGTGTGTATTGCCTGCATGTTGGTAAGTGCACCCATGTCGTGCAATGCCTGTGGAGGTCAGAAGAAGCTGTTGGATCCCCTGGGACTGGAGTTATGACAGTTAGCTGCCGTGTAGGTGCTGAAATTTGAACCTGGGTCTTCTGCAAGAACAGTCAGTGTTCTTAACCACTGAGCCATCTCTCCAGCCCCAATAAAATATTTTTTTAAAAAAAATAAAAGTGATGAGAGAGAGAGAGAGAGAGATATTAGTAAAGGTTTTCTCAAATACTATTTGTGTTAGTAGCTATGAAGCTTTTATAGTTTGTTACCTAAAAATACATTTTCAGTGACAGTATAAGTGATAGCCAAGGGGTTATGATGATGTGTAACTTTGCATACATGTAGGATGAATAGAGGGGGAATGTGGCCAAAATTTTGGCTGAACAGTCAATTTATTTTACTAGGTAATTGAGCTGGTTAACGTTTTCTGTGTGTGCTTTAGAACTATGAAGTGACTATTTGCATGAACTAGACTTCCTATGTATTCATCCCAGCCTTCTGTGACTTTTGGAAAAGTCAAGCCCCATGCTCATCTATAAAATGAAAATGATAATAGTATTTTCATGTATGTTTTACATATTAATTTTGTGAAGATATACATGTAAAGTAATACAGGCATATCATGTTCTTGATATAAAATATGTGAAAGTTGAATGTGGTAGAGAAAAGTTTATTTTTGGAAGTAGTTATTTTTTAACATTAACTTCATATAGGACTTCCGAGAAATCATCCTGAAAGCTACCATTCTTATATGTGGAATAACTTTTTTAAGCATATTGACATAGATCCAAATAATGCTCATATCCTTGATGGGAATGCTGCGGATTTGCAAGCAGAGTGTGATGCATTTGAAAAGAAAATAAAAGAAGCTGGAGGAATAGATCTTTTTGTTGGAGGTATGTAAGAAACATTGTCATCAATCATTTGTCTTGCTGATATTAGAAGTAGGTGCATTAAAATTAAAAAAATAAAAATTGTCAGCAATGCATAATGTCAAGAACACCGGTGACTGCCTGTTAATGCCCAATTATAAAAATGGAAACAGACTGATTCCAATTTTATTTTGATCAAAAATAGACTTAAAATTCAAACAATTAACTATTTGTTTAAATTGCACCTTGAGAAATTGTCCCCAATCATCATTAAGCTCTTCTGATGATCTCTTTAAGTCTGATGTTTTGCCACATCTTTAAAAATGAGTTACTGGTTTGTTTTCCTAAGTGGAAGCTTTACTTTCTTAATAATTCTTTAAAGCTCTAGCACAGTTGACTTATCAAATAGAGTTGAGTCTAAAATATACACATGATTAATGGGTGTATTTTTATTAGATCACTCAAATTGTATTAAGATCATCCAAATCAATTAAGAATAAATAATTTTTTATTATCAAACATTAGATAAGTTAAATTATATAAATAGCCTAATGAATTCCAAAGGGAATGAATGTTTAGTTGACCAAATTCCACTTATAATTTAAAAATAAATATTTATATATGTGTGGATGTGTGTGCATAATGTACTGAAAATGACAGTTTATTCCTTTGTAATAATTATGACTGTTATCAGTATAAAACACCTTGAGAAAGCTAGATAATTGCCATCAAAATATAAATTAAATGAAAGCCAAAATAGTTTTGTCAGATTTCTTATTATTCAGCTAAAAATACTAATGCTCCAAACTAACTATATATATCTTACAGTTAATTTATGAGAAAACTGCTCAGAAAGATGTGAAGCAGAGCTGTGTGGAGGTGAATTCATGCTTGAAGTGACTGAATATGATTGAGGTGGTTGGTTGCTCTTGGGTTTTATAGTTGATGTAAATTTGCACCCTACTATAGCATTTGCGTATGCCTAGTAAGTCTTTTGAAGTTCAGTGTCACTGATTCATTTGTAAGACACAATTAATACTAACTTTTCCAACATTTTTGAAAATTAATTGTTCTATACCATGTTTAAAATGCCTGGAAACAGTGTTTGGCACATAGCTGGTAAAGTCACTTGAGTTTTGTCCTCTGTGTACTGTAGAGGCTAACCAGTTATCCCTTAATTCACTGAATTCCCCAAGCTCTTTACAGAATTGCTTCTATGTATATACTTCTGTAGATAACACAGGGAAACTGAAATCTTCTCTGAGGAAATACTTCTTTTTAAAAAAAAAATATTTTATTTATGCCGGTCGTGGCATGAAAACCAAAAAGAGTAGAGATAAGACATACAGGTCAATCTTACAAGTGTTTAGTTGTGTAAAAAAAAAAAAATGAGCCATAGCCAGGTGTGGTAGCACACGCCTTTAATCCCAGCACTTGGGAGGCAGAAGCAGGTGGATCTCTGTGAGTTCAAGGCCAGCCTGGTCTACATAGTGAGTTCCATAGTGAGCTGGGGCTACAGGGAGACCCTGTCTCAAAAAGACCAAAAAAAATTATTTATTATTTTTATTTTATGTGTATGAGCGTATTGCCTGCATGCATGTGAGTGCACCCGTGTCGTGCATTGTCAGAGGTCAGAAAAGGGCTTTGGATTCCCCTGGAACTGGAGTTAAGGATGGTTCATAGCCACCAGGTGGATGCTGGGACTCAAACCCGGGTCCTCTGCAAGAGCAGTCAGTGCTCTTAACTGCTGTGCCATCTCTTCAGCCCCTCTGAGGAAATATTTCTACAATGCTAATTTTTATACAGTGTGTACCAATGCTGATACTGTTGATTCTGTGTAGATAGAACTATTAATTGTCTGAGCAAGAATTCATATTTTGCATTTTAAAATAGAATGTCATCTACTTTTAGTAAATTTTACTAATATTACTTTAGTAATCTTTTGCAAGACTTTCACACCCCAGTTTTGTACTGGTTCAATTTTGAAATAATTGCCATTTCTATGTGTGAGCATTAACACTGAGACGCTAGATGTTTGAGAATGTTTAAACAGTAAATTTTCTTAAATTCCATATCAAAATAAAATGACTAGAATATAATGTATCTAAAGAGCTTATTTTAGTTTTATCAAGAAATGTTTCTCATTTATCTTTACATCAGAAACACATGTTAGATGTTAGAGGTTAATTGTTAGTGTGTTTGAATTATGTTTTCACTTGTGGACATTTATTTTCCCTTATAATTTGTTAAATGTCGCAGAAGGACCCATTTGACAAATTCCTTGTAGACCCACTGCCAGGAAATAGAATTCACTGGGCAGGGGAATTCCTGATAAAGAATCTTTTTTCTTCTTTGTTTTGCCTTCCAGGAAGCATTATTAGTTGAGTGTGTTTTTGAAGGCTGCACCTCTCTTAGCCAGTATTTCTGGTATAACACTCATCTCTTCCCATTGGTTTTTAACTCATTCCTCACTTCTTTTCAGCTAAATGTTTTTTGGCCTGTTTCCTAAAAATAAATACTACCTCTCCCGTCTAAGTAGATGGAGTATAAATTATTCCTATCACTGGCTCTTACTGTCACTTTCTAAAAACTAACTTATCTCAAGCTTCCTATAGTTATTTATTTCCTCCCCCTGAAAAATAAAATATTTTAAGCAAGTTTCTTTACCTTTTCCATTAACATTTTCACTGCAGTCTGATGATCTGGGGTTTGACAGTCTGTGTGTACCATCTAAAGGACATAATTACTCTGTGTTTGAAGAGAGAAGAGTTAGCTTATGATGATTGGTTTCCTGTTTGGGCAAACTGTTTTCTGGACATGCACTTGTTCCTGAAAGAATCTTGTTTGGTTCTTTGCGTTTCTTGCTCTAGATCATTATCTTTGGAATTTTAAAGATGAGGCTTGGTATCTGGGTCTTACCACTTACCCTTCTTTTGTTCCAGGGTTTGGTTAATAAAAACACTAAGAACTGTGCCAAATGGGATCAAAATATCAGCTTTATTAAAGGTAAAGTTGGAATAGAGACTGTAGGTTGGGCTTGAAGCCAAGGTGGTTTTTTGTTTCCATTTCTGTTTCTTCCTCCACTGTGAATTGGAAGAAGGACTAGGAGGGCTCCAGAATGATAATTTGCTGTCGCTCACCCAGTGCCATTAGAGCAGGCCTTCCTTTCCCTGTGTAGAAAGTAGGAAATGAATATTCTGAAAAGTTCTCATTCTTCCTCTGATGGCAGAAGTATTGAGAGAAAAGGCAAGGTGCCTCCTGAGTCCCTCAGTTAGCCTCAGCAGTAAGATACACAGCTGTGGGATTTTGTATATAAAGTATAATTAATAAGCCGGGCATGGTGGTGCACGCCTTTAATCCCAGCACTTGGGAGGCAGAGGCAGGTAGATCTCTGTGAGTTCAAGGCCAGCCTGGTCTACATAGTGAGTTCCAGGACAGCTGGGGCTATAGGGAGACCCTGTCTCAAAAAGACCAATCAATCAATCAATCAATCAAATTAATCAATCAAATCAATCAACCAATTAATAAATAAATAATTAAAAGAGAGAAAATACCATATATTCCTTGGGATGAACCAAATCCTTTTATTTGTTCGTTTAGTTTGTTTGTTTTCAAGACAGGATCTCACTGTGTAGCCCTGGCTGACCTCAAACTTGCTCTGTACACAATGAACTCTCAGAGATCCACCTGCTTCTGCCACACCTGGTTCTAATTCATTCTTAAGCCTGGGGCCCAGATATGGGGAGCAAATCTCCCGGAGTTAAGACAGTTTTGAGTTGTTTGTTCAGTGTGGGGTCTGGGAGCCAAAGTCAGATCCTCTGCAATAGCAGTGAGTGCTCTTATCCACTGAGCTCTCTCCAGGCTCACAAATAAAGTTTTATTGAAATTCAAAAACAGGGGCTGGAGAGATGGCTCAGTGGTTAAGAACACTGACTGCTCTTGCAGAGGACCCAAGTTTGAGTTCCAGCACCCACATATTGGTTAACAACCATCTGTAGCTCTAGTTCCAGGGGATCTGACGCCCTCTTCTGCCCTTCGTGAGCATTGCATGACACAGGTGTACTTAACACATGCAGGCAATATACACATAAAATAAAAATAAAAAATAAATTAATAAGCCGGGCATGGTGGTGCACGCCTTTAATCCCAGCACTTGGGAGGCAGAGGCAGGTAGATCTCTGTGAGTTCAAGGCCAGCCTGGTCTACATAGTAAGTTCCAGGACAGCTGGGGCTGCAGGGAGACCCTGTCTCAAAAGGACCAAATATATATATATATATCGCTAAATTTTTAGTTGATATTTTGTCTATATAAAGTTAAAAGAAGACAGTGAGGAAAACTTTAATTTTTTATGCTGTTAAATTTTTGGTTTGCCAGTCACAGGGATGGACTAATGGAATGGGACTAGTAGTGTATCAATTGGAATGATTCTGGCAATATTCACAGAATCATCTAAGGAAGCATTCACACACTTGTTTTTGGAAAGAACTGAAGAGCTTCATCAGATCTCAGAAGCCAGGCCTCATTATCAGTAGTGCAGACATTCAGTATCTCCTGTGTTTTCTTTCTCTTTACAAGGTAAAGATCAGATCTAGAGAGTGACTTGAATTGCTTCAGCTCAGAGTCCTTATCTGTAGGCCACTGTCTGTCTGTCTAACAGGGACATCAGGAATTATCTTTGAGCCATCCTGCCACTTGTAGTGAGTAGTACAGCAGGAGGGATGGAGCTGGGGAAACTCTGAGCCACCCGAAGAAAAGTAACTACCTACTTACTTAGCTGTGCATCATTGAATGTCTCCAGTATGTAATGCGTTGTTTCGAATGGTCACTGTAGAGAGATGAACACAAAGCCCTCGCTCAAAGGAATTTATATTCTACCACAGAAATGTAGGAGCAAAGGAAAGGCAATCCAGGCAGTGGGTTCTTGAGATGTTTCATATAGATGCTGATATCCTAATTTAGACTTAAAGGCCAAAATAGGATTAGCTAAACTTAAAACATTATCAGAAATCTCAGTTTTTGCATTGCTTATGACCAGTAGGCAAATGTGTTCTTTCTCTAAACTTTGCCCATAAGTTCAAGTTATCAATACACTTCTCTCTAGCCCAGATTGCTACTAAGAACATTAATATTGGTCTTAGTAGGCATCTGATATTTTTTCTGGACCTTTTATATTCTTATCTTTATCCTTTACTCTTTACATATGTAAAAGAGCAGTATACATGTACTAGTACATATGAATACATTCAAGTAAAATACATTGAAAATCTACAGATAAATGGCTAAATGTAATGGAAATATATCACAAGCAGCTATGTACATTTGAGTGGAAATAACCCTGCATATTAACTACATGTATGTCTATTAAAAATGTAAATCCTACATTAATGATTGAAAGATTGTTGTGCTTTTGAAGTCTCTGTTTCATGGAGTATTCTTTTTTTTCAACTCTTTCAAAACTAGATTATAGCTTGTTATATTTTACTGTAGCTTAGGAAATTATTAGAATCGTATATCAAGTGCCAGTAAAATATAACTACTATTTCCTTAAAGTAAACGTGTAGAGAATAAATATAAATGATGTTTTCATTACTTAGAGGATTGTCAGTGTTAGTTTTTTTATTGAAGTTTCCGTAAATCTGACTAGTAGGTAAATGCTTAAAATTTGATTTTGAAAGATTCTTTATATTATCAAGGCAATTACCTCCCATTTTCTTCAAATAAGGAATATCATGTTATTTTCCATATTTTAGCAGCAATCTGAGAACATAATGAGAGTATTGATCTTCTTAAACTAGTGTTTTTCAAACTGTGGTTGTTACTCTTTAAGTCATGAAGTCAGTACAGCAAGTAACACCCATTATTTCCTTTTTGCTCTGTTCGTGAAATGTAGTGTAACAGAAAGTAGCTGGTATTGGCTCCCAGTGAGGCTAAGTATGTTTTCATGCCATTTTTTCCTTGAATTGTGTTTTAGATGCATGTGTGTGTGTGTCTGTGTGTTATAGTGTAAAATGGCTTCTAGTAAAAATTTCTGAAAAAAAAACTGTTACCCTAGGTATTATCTTGTCCAATCTATACATTTTATGTATAGATTATATATAGATTATATATATATATATATCTTGTCCAATCTATACATTTTATGTATAGATTATATATAGATTATATATATATATATATCTTGTCCAATCTATACATTTTATGAGAAAGCAAATCTAAAAGAGGCATAGTAATTTTCTCACCCAAATTAAAGCTAAATCCGAGGAAAGTGTGAGTATAAAGACCAGCAGTAAAGTCAGCAATAGGAGGCTTTAGATATGAGTGTGTCTCAGTGTTCACTAAATTAATTATGATACCCAAAGGGCTATTTATTTTCCTTGAGCATCAGTTTCTTTTTGTGCTAACCAGAGGTGGTGCTGAGGGAAGCTCAATGCCTGATCTTACTAGTTCACAGAATTATTTTCTGTTGTGATGATGTGTGTGAAAGTGCTTTATAGAGTTAATAGTGCTACATCAGTGCAGTACTTTACTGATATTAGGATCATGCTATTCCATGCTGTGTATATAGCAAACATGGAGGTATTTGTTGAATCGAATGTAGAAATAAATATTTTAATACAATATTAGGAATTCAGCTATGAAATAAGATAAGGTAAGTGTGTTCATGGTTCTGTCTTTGCTTTTACAACTATGTTGAAATTTAATAAAATGTTTACTGTATCGAGAATGTGCCCATGTGTCTGTTTTGAAAGGAATAGGTCCAGATGGTCATATCGCTTTCAACGAGCCAGGATCCAGTTTAGTATCAAGAACAAGATTAAAGACTTTGGCAATGGACACCATTTTGGCAAATGCTAAATATTTTGATGGCGATTTAGCAAAAGTGCCAACTATGGCTCTAACTGTTGGTGTGGGGACAGTGATGGATGCTAGAGAGGTAAGAAATGTTCTTTAGCCTTTTATCTTTGCTGTCGAGTAATGCAAAATTAGTTTTTTAGGTGCATCCTAGTTGTAAAACGACTTTTAGTTCTCAGTTATTAGCTTTGGTCATTCTCATTGGCATGTTTAAGAATGAAGTAAATGTCAGTCTTCTGGAATGGGTAGCTAAGAAGCGAGCTCCGCCTTGGTTGGGTTTCTAATTCACTTGCCAATTTTGCTTCCCAGCTTGAGGCTTTAAAATCTTAATAACGTGGTTTCGTTTTGAATTGAAATATTCTTGCAAAAAGTAGTGGGACAGATGTGCAGAGCTAGCATCCTACAAAGTTTTGGAGCACTTGGATGATTTAGTATAAAGTGCTTCTTGACTGTATGCAGAGGGTGGCTATATGGGTTTCTATCAGAAACAGTCCATCTAGCTCTGAATCCCTTGTAAATTTAATATATTTAAGAATATATATGACAGCCGGGCGTGGTGGCGCATGCCTTTAATCCCAGCACTTGGGAGGCAGAAGCAAGTGGATCTCTGAGTTTGAGGCCAGCCTGGTCTACATAGTGAGTTCCAGGACAGCTCCAGGACAGCTGGGACTACTGGGAGACCCTGTCTCAAAAAGCCCCCCTCAAAAGACTAAAGATAAATATAATTTTTAAGGAGATGCTTGCTCTGAATAGTAGACCCTAACTTTTAGCTTTGTGATTGGGCTGTCATTTTCTTCCTTGAGAATAACAGAATGAATTGCACTTGGTATATAATTGACAGTCAGTGGTTAAATTAGTGGAAACCTAGAAATTCATTTATTCTGGTCTCAAAGAAGGCAGAATAGATATGATGAATGAGTAATAATATCTAGACTTGAACATGCAACAGCTCATCCAAAATATGAGCTCCTCATCTAAGTCATACGTACTAGAAAAATACTTTCAAGGATGGAAATCTTACAAATAATGTAGAAAAAATATTTATTGCAGACATTTTTATAACATATAAGCCTGAAATCATTAAAATAGATTTATTACATTTAACAGGATTTAAGTTTTAATGTTACAAAAATGCTAATTGTTAGAATGACACAACAGAACATTATTTAAATGGCAATATTTCATCAGTTTTTCTATGAAATTATGTTGCTGTTCATCGACCATAATTGTTTCACCATGACACTAAACAAGATCATTATGGCAAAACTGTTCTAGAGCATCATTATTTTTCAAGGACCTGTCTTGGTTCCTTGATTTTTCAGAGCATTCTCTTGAAGCAAATTGGTTGTAGTTTATATTTTCCTAACATCAATTAAACTGGGTTTAATTTAGACAGAATCTCTTTTGTCATTGGTCTTTTGTAATTTTTCAACTGAATATTTTTTAGAGCAGTTTTAGGTTTACAGAAAAGGTGAGTGAAAAGTTTGAGTGTCCACCTATAACTTTTTCCCACACTGATATACAACCTCTTCCACCATCAACATTGACATCAGAACGAAATGTTTATTACAACTGATGAAATTTACATTGACACTTTATCACTTATAGTTCATATTTTACATTGGAGTTCCCTTTTGGTATTGGAGTTTTTATAAACATATAGTGACATGTTCTCATTAATACAGTGTGTAAAAGATTAATTTCACTGCCCCAGAATGTTCTCTGAGCTCTGCCTATTCACCCCTTCCTCTCTTGACATCTGTCCATCTCTGATGCTTTGTTTCCCTTCTGCCTTTTTCAGCTGGTCACATGTTGGAATCATACAGTGTGCAGTATTTTGAACTTGGTCACTTTCTCGTCGTAATATTTAGTCACTGCTCCTCCATGACTTTCTGTGGCTTGAAAGCTATTTCCTTTAACACTGAATATAGCTGCATTGTTACAAGCCTGGATGTTACAGGTTTATCTAGTCCCGTTACAGTACGTCTTGGTTACTTCCAGAGTTTTACAGTTATAAAGCTTCTGCGGTTATGAATGTGCAGGTTTTATTTTCAGTTCATTTCAGTGCTCACCAAGGACTATAATTCATATATTGTATGGTAAGAGTATATATATATATATTTTTTTTTGGTATAAGAATCTGCTAGGGGCTGGCAAGATGGCTCAGCAGGTAAAAAGCACTTGGCACTAAGTCTGACGACTTGAATTTGATCCATGGGTCCCAGATGGAGGAAGCACAGTAGTGCAAGTTATCCTCTGACCTCCACATGTGTGCCATGCCACATGCATACCCATACACACTTATACAAATAAGTGTTATCTTTAAAGCAGCAGTCTGTTGCTGGTCACGGACTTCCTATGAGACTGTATGCTAATCACTGAGGGGCTTAGATTGCAGTACCTGAATACAGTTATTATAGAAGACCTGAAATAGAGGAATAATGCATGTGTATCTTTGTGTTTGTATAAACACAATTTTGTATGTACATGTTTCATTTTGGTTCTTTCTGTAAAAGATACATCAATATTAAAATACTCTGGCTAATAATGTCCAGCAAGGAAAACTAATTTTCAAATTTGCTAACATTTTACTTGCCTTACAAATGTCAAACTAGTGAATTTTTGTTTTTAAGTAAGTGCTTTTAATATTAGGTGATATATTCATGTACGTTGTGGTCATATGAAAATCAAATTGAATTATGACAAATATATGCTATCTTGATCTATTCATCTTTCATTTCTTACTATTTTAAAAGATCTAGCTATAAAATATATATGCATGCATATAAAAATTCTGTGATAAATATTAGAACTTTAAGTCACATTTTTAGTAATTGTAATGAGAAAATACTATATTTAAATGAAATTATTCAGACTCAGAAAGATGAGAAATATGTTGCTCTCATTTGATCAAGGATTAAAAATAAAAAGACCCTGCAAGTTCGAAGGGGAGTGTTTGGGGAGAGGAAGGGAAATCAGGTGTGGGGAGCAGATAGAAGGCCATTGGGGAGTGAAAATGATTGAAGTACGTACGTCTGTGAAATTGTCGTAATGAAACCCACTGTTTTTACAATGAATACTAATTGAAAAGAAAAAGTAACAGTATGTAGACCCATGTACGCATTCTCAGTTGGGAAATACATTGGCTGCAGAGAGACGTTAAAGATTCATTCTGACACACAGTTGCATGCTTCTCCAATTGTGTCCTATGTTAGCAACTTAAACAAGAAGCTTGAGCTGTCATTTCTGAGTGTCAGTCACGCTGCGAAAAGGCAGTGTGTAGGTTTCAGTAGAGCCCCAATCCTTAATTTTTTTGTTTGAAGCAACTTAAAAATAATTGTGCCTACTTAAATGAGCCTTGGCCTTCCCTAAATAACTTTTTAAGATTTAATCTGTTATTTAGAGCTTCGGCTGTTCTCAAATAGCATATATTTCTTATCTGGACTAGGGAGATATGGGGTATTATTCCAGATTTTATAAATTCTTCGAAGATTCCTAACATTGCTGTTGCAGAGGCAGGTCTTGCTTCATTCTTACAGATACCTATACATCAGTATGAAGCGTGATCATTCTTGTATTATGTCTCACAGCAGAGCTGCCTACTCTCTGCGTGTCTTCATTAGTAATTAACCAGTGATGCTCATGATTTTTCAGGTGATGATCCTCATAACAGGGGCACATAAGGCATTTGCCCTGTATAAAGCAATAGAAGAAGGAGTCAATCACATGTGGACTGTTTCAGCTTTCCAGCAGCATCCCCGAACTATTTTTGTATGTGATGAAGATGCTACTTTAGAACTTAGAGTTAAAACTGTGAAATACTTTAAAGGTAAGCATTGACTTTTAGTGTGCATATGAGATCTTTGTCGCAGATGACGAAAGGTAACGTGGCTGTGGAGTTCATTCCCTCACTGTGGCCGATTGAAAACTGGCTACTGTGCTAACATAACAGCCAGTCTTTTCAAGAAATAAAACTCATCTCAGAAAAAAATGGCTTTCAGGACTTTGTTTTTTAATCCAAAATTTGCTGAAATATTTAACTTTGACATTGAATATATATGATCCTGTCCCAGGTAAACTCCACAAACAAATCCATTCCATTAAGTTACACTTGATATTATAGTGGTTACATAAGAAACAGTATGAAAAACTGCCGAGAAGCAGAGTTGGGTTGCACAGACTTCTGCATATTGATCGTTCTTTTTCTCTATAGTTTAGTAATTAATTCCACAGTGAGCTGTACATGGAAAAAAAAAAAACACGCCTGACATATTGGAAGTTTTCAAGTAACAATTAGACTACACTAAACTTACAGTCTATTTCCTGATTAAAAGTAAGCTCCATATGCAAGCTAAAAATGTATGAACAGGCACTTGTTTAACACAGTTGTTTATATAGCTGGTAGTGAACATCAATTGGTCATATAGATAGGTCACTGGTTCACAAAAATGTATGCTGTGTGTGACATACTTCTGGGACATGGATGAATATACCTTTTAAATCTTTTATTGTAACTATGTTTAATGAGTATTGGAAAGTGTAACAAACCAAACCTGTATTTCATCAATAGGTTGAAGAAAAGGTTAAGAGAGTTACCATATTTTAATGCCTCTAAGCACATTGATCGTGGCCGATATTGGGTTGTGCACAATGTCATATAGCTTACCTGGTTCATTTTCTTTTTCTTAGAGATACATAAAATAATGTCTTACAGAGTACAGCATCTCACATTAGGAAATGTAATATATAATCTTAAATATTATACTTCAATTTAAAGGAAACAAGTTACAGTTCATGTTAAGCGTGCATGTGAAAATCTTAAAGGTGGTATGCAGATGGAAGTTGGGTAAACACTGAAAATAATGTGACACTGCCCTGTATGTAGTTTTCTATTTCTTTATTCCTTCATCAGCTGAAGGGCATTTAGGTTGTTTTCATTTCCTAGCTGTTGTGAAAAGATCAGCAGTAAATATTGCTGAGCAAGTATCTCCGTTTTGAGTCCTTTTGGGTATAAGCCAAGACGTGGTATAGCTGGGTGATACGGTAGATCTTTTTAGTTTTCTGAGGCCTTCACACTGGCTGTGCCAATTTGCAATCCCGCCAGCAGTGCATGAGGGTTCCTTTTTTTTTTCTTTTTTCCTTTTCTCCACAGGATTTCTAGCTAGCCTAGAACTACTATGTAAACCAGGCTGACCTCGAACTCACAGAGATCTGTGGGCCTGTGCCTCCCATGTGTTAGGATTAAAGATGTGCATCACCACTCCCAGCAGGAGTTCCTCTTTAATGCAGACTAGGGGCTACCATGTGGTGCCTCGCCCCAATTGATATATGTACAATGGAATTCCTACACCTAAGACTCAGGGAACATCATGGAAGAATACGTAGAAAGATTCTGAGAGCCAGAGGAACAGGATACCCGCTCCTAGATAATGCATTCTAGACACGTTAGGGAAGCTTGTTCCCATGAAATCGCAACAATGTGGTGTCTGACAAGACCTGCATAATGGCACCACCAGTTGACATGCCGGTGTGGTTGGGGGAAATTTCAGGGTCCCACCTCTAGATGAAGAGCTACAGGCCAATCAATGAATGCTGACGGAGGGAGAATTAGTTTTCTCCTTAACAAAATCCCTGATAGGTTGTCTAATTCCAAGTGGTCAGCCTAAAGATATGTACACAAGTGCCACTAAGTGAACTCAGTGCTATCATATCATCCATCCATCTACATACCTATCTCTCTCTCTACATATAGTGTATGTAATATGTAATAATAATCATAGGTCAAGAAATTGAGAGGGAGTTGGGGGCCTGGAAAGATTTGGAGAGTAGAGGGGTAGTGTTGGAAATCGTACAAATACAGTAACCATATATGAAATTCTCAATAAAAAACAACCTAAAGACTTTCAAAGCAGCCTAAAGATTACTCAGTACAGTATTGAGTGTTCCATACAATATATTTTTATTATATTCACTGTTCCACTCCTCCCCATCCACTCACCCATCTCCCAGCCCCTGCCAACTGTGTCCTTTATAATGCCCTGAGACCAGTTAGTGCTGCTCATATACACCTGGGTGTATGGCTCTCCACTGCACTGTGGTTGGCCACACTAAAAGAAAACTGACTCTCCCTCCGCCAGAAGCCTTTAACTGTTGGTAGCTCCTCAAGAGTAGGAGCTGCTGAGCCCCTCTCCCTTCCTTGTCAATTGGCTTGATCTTGTACAGGCAACCACAGCTGCTGAGTTTCCAAGTGCCATGGTCCTGTCATGCCCTGAAGTGTTTTCAGCCGGTTCTTCCTGACCTCTGGCTCTTAAACTCTCTTGGCGCCCTCGCCTGTGATGCTTCCTGAGCCTTGTGGTGTGGGAGTGACTCTCCATTTGTGGCCAAGCAGATAAGCATGGCTCTGCTGACACGTATTCTCTGCACTTTGAGGAGTGGTGAGCTTCTGCATTAACGACTGTCCTGGGCCTATACCTAAAAGACTCTTATTCCCTTATTTCCAACTACAGAAAACCATGCTCATTTGTGTTCACAGATGGTCTGTTCACAATAGCTAGAACATGGAAACAACCTAGATGTCCATCAAATGATGGATAATGAAAAATGAAACTATGGTATACACAATGGAGTTGTATTCAGCTGTCAAGAAAAATGAAACAGGAAGTAAATCTTAATGATCTTCCTGATGTTCCATGTGTATTTTGAAGCCTATATGGTTAGCAAATGATAGATGAATTATATCAAGTAGAAAATTGAGGTCTCTAAGATTGCCCTCTACAAAATGATACATCTAAATGATGTATCTGAAAGTACCTTTGTCTTTGGTGCCCCTCTTCTGTTAGACCTTGTGACATTCATGGTGCTGATCAAACCTTGAAGAAAACTGTTGCGAACTCAGCCCTCCACTTTCAGTTGCACTGGAGAACAGAATGTTGCCCCTTCCTTGCTTTGAAGATTCCTCTCGGGGCTTCTCACCTATAGCAACCCGTCCCAGGGCCCTTGGCTTATGCAAGGGATCATCTGCAGTTTGGGTTCTAGGAAGCTTTTGCAGCCACCTTGCCAAAGAACATGTTTTTCTCAGGGGGACCATTCACCCAAATCCAATAACCTAATTTTTTTTGAAGAAACTAAATTACAAATGCCTTTCTCCACAGCCTCTACTAAGTTCTTAATGACCTGGAAAATTTAACTTACTTCTTTGCTTTCCAAGGTATAAATTTTTTATTTAGTTCATTAATTCTGTCAAAGACAATCTTTTAAGAAATACATTCTTTTCAAAAGACATACAGTACATAGGACATTAAAACATATGAATAACTGGAAGACAGGCTTTAACAGGTAATTTACAAGCATTATAATAAAATTTTAAATAATACAGGTATCTGCACACACTTTTGGTAAATTTCTGTGAGCTTGTAATTAAGCCTTTTAGTAAATATGCATTTCTGCGTATGTATGGAGAACGGAGATATGGATCAGTTGGTAAAGTGCCTACTGTACAATCCTGAACTGAGTGCAGTCACCTGTACCCACATAAAAAGGCAGGCATGGTGATGCAAGCCTGAGATTCTAAGGCTGGGGAGGCAGACATGATCGCAGAACCTACTGACCAGCTGGTTTCACAGTTAATGAACTCCATGATCAGTAAGAAATTCTGTCTAAAAAATAAGGTGGAGAGTGACAGAGGAAGACACCTGCTGTTGATTTTTGGCACCCACACATATGCACAAACATTAACACATATACATATAACCCCCCCCCAAAAGTATGCATAGGGTCATATATTGGCAGACAGAAGCTATCCTGGTCTGACAGCAGTTCTGAGCCCCTAGTCAGAGTCTACCAGAGGAACTGCCACAGAATCAAAATGAGCACAACTTTTAGACACAATGTATTAACAAAGCCGTACTCAAAGTTGTCACCCTGCCATTCTAATGCTCAAAACAAGAACTACTACTTTTGAACTCCCAATGTACCTGTACTTGTTCTAGATCTACTCTGATATTTATAAATTGGTATGTTAAACTGTTTCATTTTTTCAATAAATGACCTTTTTAATCATTTAGAAATATTGTACCTTACAAATCTTTTCTGAAGTACAACACAGTTCAAAATGAACAAAAATGCAACTCGAATTGTGCTTTTTTTCTTTAAGGTTTAATGCATGTACACAATAAACTTGTGGACCCACTATACAGTATGAAAGAAGGGAAATGAAGAGACTGGAACAGAATTCTGCTTGAAAGAACACTTACTAGATAAAATTTCAGTTATGCAATATGATAAACATGGAAAATTTGAAGGCTGTCATTTTAAAAATCCACTATCTGTTAAGCATTCCATACTCGAATGTTTATTCACATTAGATCTTAGAAGGACTTGGCTCTCAAAATTGGTTGTCTGTTTATTGTATGGTATAAAGCTATGCAGCCACCTGTAGAACATAGCAACAAAAAGTCTGCATTTTAAAAGAGTCTTCACATCGGGTAACACCAGTGACAGGATCTCTTGTGACACAGGTTTATTTTATTACAAGAGGATACTCCACGCCTTTCAGATATCAAACTACTATCATTGTAGACCTTTACTTTTGGAATATATATTTTTGTGCATCACACATGCTTTTCTGCACGTAGTGGCCTTAGTCATCTTTCTGCAGCAGCATCTGCACATCAGAAATTCTGTTTATTAATCAAGGAAATCGGAAGAGACGACAGTGCCTAAAGTACAGTTTACATCCTTTCAGAAAGTATGTGCAAGTGCATGCTTTTGTGCACCTTCTTTTCTTCTATGATACATTTCTACAAATATGTTTATTTTTATTTAATGACCTGAGCTCATGTCCTTACTACAGAGAAGTATCTTAGCAATTATGAGCTTTGTGCTGAGCAGAAAATTTAAGGAAATCCTTTTGAAGGACATTTTCTGATTACTGTTAAATTTTATAGATTGGTTTTTATTATGTATAAAATGTCTAAAAAGATATGAATTATATAAAATTTATGGTAAACTTTTAAATTGTAACTTGCATAATTAAATTGCAAATAAAAGTATATTGTTTTCTACCTTTAATGCAAATAAAGCTACAAATTTTCTAAACTTTATTTCTAGAAGCGAAATAACATGCATTGGTGAGGCTCCAACAATTAATAGAGCCTGTGACTCTGCATCCACTTTTGATCTGTCACCAACCAGTTACGAGTCTGAACCTAGTAAGAATTTTAAATTAAATAAAAATTAATAAAACCATTAATGTTGCTTTAATTCCAAATGATGTTTTAATAGCCTTATTTTTCTTATGTTTATGAAAGTAAATAGTAAATAGTTTTGAAGTCATCTGGACATGGGACAATACAGTAAAGGTTACACAAATGGCAGAAAGATCACAAGGATTTTAAACATATTCTGGAACCTCTTTAGATTCACAGGTCTAAAATCTGTCTTCTGAACCCCAGTTTCATGTTTCCAGTAGCCTTCTGAAGACCTCCACACAGAAGAATTTCAAGCAATACATCCAGAATTAATCTGAGTCCTGTACCCTTCCCTTGGCTCTCCCTCCCTCCCTGCTTATATTAAAACTGGTAGCCACTGAGTAGAAGACAGCCTTGCTAATGTTCTTCCTCTTGGTTGTACACTCCCATCTCTCCCTTTTCATAGTACACACATCTTAGCCACACTATGTATGTTACTGTTCTCACTGCTAAGTCAAAATATCTGACAGAAACCAAGGATGACTAAATTTGCTCATGGCTTCCAAGGTTTCTGACCATCATGGTTGGCAGGGTGTGCCACAGCAAACAAGCAGACAGGAAACAGAAAAATGAGTCCTATGTCTTTACATGTTAAAGTTAACCACTAAGTCAGTAGCATCCTGTACTAACAGTTATGATAATAAAGTGTGCTACAGACCTTTGGCCGTAGATCATCACAGAAAAAAGCTAATAGTCTCTTGTGGTCAGTTCCCGCTGTGCTTTAAAGAACTTTCCCGATGTTACAGCATTGAGGTTAAGAATCTAGTTTAGGGCCATGTCTTCAAGCTCTTCAGCAAAACATCCCCGGCCACCTTCACTTCCTAACTCAGAAGGTAAGATGCTTTTAAAGAGCTTGGAAGCCCATGGAAGATGTTTTCTAAGAAGGGAAATACACTTTTGATTTTAAAGCAAGAAATCATTGCTTAAATTCCATCTCTGTCACTGTTACCTTTGGCTATAAATGTCAGCTTCTTACCCTCTATTGTTATATAGACTGAAGGAAGTATAGATAATGCAGCACAGGGGGTGACCTATACCAAACTTGATGAATGGTGACAATTTTAAGTCATAGAATTATATAAATTGGTAATATAAGATCCTTAGGGAATATATTCGAGGCACAAAATTCCAAATTAAAAGTATCTGACTAGAAAACTGGTCATGGAAGTTAAGCTTATGCTTAAAAAAAAATAATCTAGAACAAGTTATTATTAGCACAAGAGTCATAAGTTAAAGGAAATAAACTGCCCCCCCCCCAAAGGCACAAGTTAGGGCTGGAGAGATGGCTCAGAAATTAAAAGCACTGCCTGCTCTTGCAGAGGGCCCAGGTTCAGTTCCCAGTATCCAAATGGCTCTTAACAACTGTCCTTAACTCCAGTTCCAAAGTACCTAGCACCCTTTTCTGTCCTCTGCAGGCACTGCACACGAGTGACTTACATACAGGTAGGCAAAACACATACATAAAACTAACAAAACACGTGTTAAGTGCAGACAGTGTATATGAAATAGTATCAACTTGTGCCTTTCACTAGCAATTAAGAACAGAGATTATACTGTCATTTTTCAAAACTCATTGCCATGAGTTTGACATTTCTTATCTACCAAAGCTAGAGAAGTATGAAATGACTGTAACCATAATAGGTAATCCTTTCATACTAACACTACTTAACCACCAAGTCCTCAATTTATAATTAAAAATATTTCAAAATGTCAAGACTCATAGAAGACAGAAGAAAAATTCAATCGTCAAAGTTTTGATGTAATATATTCTGCATGATGGTTTGTTAGTTAACTGAATAAACATGGGAGTTAAGAGCATGAAGTCATTTAACTAGCTGCACCATTTCAGGTATGACAGGTATTATTAATAACTTATTAATGCCTGGTGCTAATACCAAATGTCTATTTTTTGCATAAATGTACTTTGAATGTCATAAATAAGGCAAGACCCTGGCTTCAATTTAACTTACATATCAAATGTAAGCCATCTACTTTCAAATTAATTCCTGATTAAATTTATAAGGATCAAAAGCTAGAGCAGATGTCTGATAACATGTACATGAGTTTGTTTAATAACTCATTCATATAAATCAGATAAATTGATCCAGCTAACAACAGTGACACAAATTTTGAAAAGCCTTTAACTTAATTAACTAGATGTAGTCTTAAATATAGGGCCATTTAATATCTGCAAGTAAAAACACACAAGCTAGACATGGTGGCACATATCTGGAATCTTAACACTAGAGAGGCTAAGGCAGGTTTGTCACAAGTTTGAATTCAGCCTGGCCTACACAGTGGGTACTAGGCCAGGGCTACATGGGAAGACCCTGTCTCAAAGCATTAAAACATAAGAAACCAAGAAAAAGATTAAAGCATGAAGAAAGTTTAAAATCCACTGTAATCATGCCTTCACATATATATATATATATATATATATATCTTACTTTCCACAGCTACCTATAAAAGTAGTAATAGTATAATCTTGATTTTACACTAAAGACAAAACAAGCAATTTTGCTAAGATTACTAGTGAGTGGTAAAACAAAAAACCAAGAGTAGGTGATGTGGCTCAGACTACTTGAAATCCTGGCGAAATAAGCAGACTTCACAGGTTTTATTCTATTGTCAATACAAATTAAGAGACACGTAATTTTAATTTATAAAAGCCCTTCATTCTCCTTCAATTATTTATTAGATTGAGTTTTCAGAACTTTTATGAAAGCATCTTTTGGAACTTCAATGTTGCCAATTTTCCTCAGCTTTTTTTTCCCTTCTGTTTGTCTCTTCAAAAGTTTCATTTTTCGGGTAATATCACCACCATACTGAAAAAATATTTTGGAAAAATGAGACATTCAAATCAGTCCAAAGAAAAAAATTACATACAGGTATCAAGCAACACAATAATAAATCATACCAAATTATTATCTGTCAGGTTGACATCTACAAAATTACTTCTCCAATTTTACTACCAGATTCTAATTTAAATACCTCCTCAAAAATCGATAATGACTTTATTTCTTTAAGATGAGGAAATCTCTACAGAAACAACAGTACAATAAAAAGATGTAATATAAAAATTTCAAATTACTGGTTCTAGGCTTAGAATTTTAGACTACACAGCCATGATCTAATACAGAAATTCTCAGAGGTAGAAATCTGCCAGAAACAGTTAAGAACCATTTTGTTCTCACAATAGACAAGTTAATATTTTAAAATTCCTTCAACAGTGAATTCATAAAACAATGTATCAAGGTAGGTTTCATTATGTATCAGATTATGAAAGTTAACATTATAAAATCCTTTAGATGGTATTATGAGAAAATATATGATAACTACTTTAAAATGTATTCAAAATGAGGCCAGATGTGGTGATGTAAGCCTTTAATCCCAGTACTCAGGAGGCAGAGGCAGATGGATCTCTGGGAGACAGAGGCCAGCGTGGTCTACACAGCAAGTTCCAGGCCAGTTAGGGTTACAGGGAGAACCCTATTTCATAAAACAAAAAAAGGGGCTGGAGAGATAGCTCAGCACTTAAGAGCACTGGCTGCTCCTGCAGAGGACCTGGGTTTGGTTCCCAGAACCTACATGGCAGCTGACAACCAACTATAACTCCAGTTCCAGGGCATCCGATGCTCTCATCTGACCTCTGCAGGCACTGCATAGCACAGGTGCACTTACATACATGCAGGCAATACACTCATACATATAAAATAAAATAAAAATAATATATTTTTAAAAGAAACAAAAAAGTAGTCGAACGAAGATATTAATTTGGCTAAGCTGAAATTTACCTATTTCAAATGAAATCTTGGGAGATGAAGGCTGGTATAGAAAAACTAAAATGGAAACCAATGTATATAAACCTTTTGATTTTAAACTCATTAAATATAGTTTAATAAAAAAAAAAAGCTAGATACATACACATTTTGCCAAAACGTTTTTCCTGTAGGCTTTCACACTGTGAAAAAGAAAATTCTGTTAAGTCCAAAATTTATTTTTAATACATAAGTTTTATCACATAAAATCATATAATTTTAGTATAGTTTAAAAGTATTTTATTTCTAGAAACAAATTTCCTTTTACTAAAAGATTTTAATAGTATTATATTGTACTTTAAGTAAATAGCTTAAATGTTCTTGTATTTAATTTTAGAGTGTAGGCAAATATAAATTCAATGTGAATATTACCATTTTAGAAAGAAAGGTCAAGGTTTTTGGCAGGCATGACAAGGAATATGAGTATGTGTAACCTTCATGAAAAATCACATTAGGTTATATCTGGCTTACCTTAAATCTCATTACTGACCTGACTGTAAATGGGTAGGGTGGCTAGTAAAATAGAGGATAGATTTAGGGTTTTATAAAACTTGTCTCAAGGCAAAGTAATCTTAATATATTTATCCCATCAGTTATACTACTATAATTTATGACATTTCCCAGATCATCACTAATTTGAAAAATAACTCTCTAAGGGTTTAAGATAAAACAGCTTTTTCATAATGTATCTTCAACACAAGTATGCCAAATTGACCATGAGCTCATTATTTTCATGGAACACATAATAACTGAAGCAAAATAGTGCACAAAAAATATAATTCCAATAAGCGACATTTATATAAAAATGATGGTTTTATTTTAGCAGTACTGATAACACTAGGTTTAGGTTAAGCTAGAACTTAACAGTAGTTTCCAGTTTCTATCACTACAGAGGTACTCTAGTGTCCAGTGGTCTTTGTAAGATTACTAACAGCTGGCAAGAGTGAAAAGCTGCAAGAGCCTGCCTACATTTGAAACTCTGAGTACAGCAGCATTCTGATTTTGTGGAAAAAGCTAGTTTCCACAGGAACTAACCTTTTCCCCATATCCACTACAAACCACACGAGGGACCTAATCTAGAATGCAGAACCCAGTATGATATTCATACTCTTTTCTGATTTAGAGCTTCTGTAACTTGAAGGACATGATAATAACTGCTTCAGGGAAAACATTCTATCATTACCTTTAGGTTCAGTTCTTCTTATTTACAGTCTACCTAGAAAAATTATATACCTGGATAAAACCTTATAAAGATAGCTCTCACTCTGGAAACTCAATGGAAATGATTCAAGGTATTGTCTGTCACGCTGGTAGAAAAGAGATCACTTTATCACAAGATTTCTACAAGAATAAAGCCCAGGTCAAGACTAAATTAAAACTTTGTTCTTTTGTTTTCTATGTGTATCATTTCTAAAACCAGCAAAAATGGATTTCAACTTACGTTTCTCTTGCAATTACTTTGCTTCCAATAACAGCTTGAATTGCTATCTCAAACAGTTGTCTAGGAAGAGAATCCTTTAGACGTTCACATATGTTTTTGCCAACAGAGTATGCTTTCTCTCTAAGACAAAAAAGAAATAGCTGGTTACCTATCCTAAATATAAATATTTAAAGTAATTTTATGGTTCATGTGTAGTAATCAAAGAAAGGTGATTTTTAAGAGGTTCAAATGGGATTTTATACATATTCTGGTCTCTGAAATGTAAATGACTTTTCTGATTTTGAAAAATACTATGACTGCTGAAATTTCAGGAATACACACATTTAGAATTTTATTTTTCAGTCCAAGCCCTTGCACATGCTATCCAACTACTCTAGTGCTAATTCACATCCTCAACTCAAAAGAACATTAATGCCCTTGCATCATCTATGGAAAACCACTGCTGATTTTTTTCCATAAGAGCAACTACAGTTTATTAAGTAAAGATTATACATTGTGCACCAGAGCAGGTACTCTAAATTCCATGCACCAGTGATTGTCCACAGTAACAACAGGAAAACTGGTAGAATGAAATCTAATTATCTTCCAAAGTTCTGAAAAATATATCTGCTCAAATAAAGGTCAGTAATCAAGCTAAAGAAAAACACCAAGGTGATCATGTTCTCAGTTCATGATTCCTTTCTATTCAACTTACTTGTGTACAATAGTTACTAGCTCTTCTACGAAATTTCCATTTAGTAGAATATCCATTTTTACAAGTTCTGCAGCCTGGTAACCTGCATCTTCATAATCGAAACTAACAAGGAAAACAGTAAAGTGATCAACATTATTCTACAAATGCCTTCTTCCTACCACATTCATTATCCTCAAACTTTAAAAAAAATTCTGTTTATCAAATTTTACATATAAAGCTTCATGTAAATGGATGCATACGTGCACAGGAAGAAACCCAATCTGTCAACTTTTGGTTTATGAAGCAAATGCGCACAGCAAGGGGAATATATCAAGAGGAACCAAAGGAAAAGTAGTATGGAAAGGCAAAGTTTAACTTACATACTTTCGCTAAAAAGGCTGGTTAGTTTTGTCAACTTGACAAAACTAATGATACCTGGGAAGAGAGAACCTTAGTTGAGGAATTTCCTTCATCACTTGCTGTGGCCTCATCTGTGGGACATTTTTCTTTTAAGTTTTATTATTTTTGTTTTATGGGTATGCATGTATTGCCTGCATGTAGGTAAGTACACCGGTGTCATACAATGCCCGTGGAGGTCAGAAGAGGCTGTCGGATCCCCTGGGACTGGAGTTACAGACAGTTGTTAGCTGCCATGTAGGTGCTGGGATTCAAACCAGAGTCTTCTGCAAGAACAACCAGTGTTCTTAAACACTGAGCCATCTCTCCAGCCCGGAACATTTTCTTAATTGGTAACTGATACAGAAGAGCTCAGGCCACTATGGTCAGTGCCATTCCTGGGCAGGTGGGCCAGGGCTGTGTAAGGAGGGTAAATGAGAAAGGCAGGGGAGCAAGCCAGTAAGCAGCTTTCCTCCACGATTCTGCTTCAGGTACTGCCTCCAGCTTCCCACCTTGAGCTCCTACCCTGACTTCCCTCAGTGTTGGATCATGAGTTATAGAGAAAGAGTTGTAAGTGAAAATACAACCCTTTCCTCCCCAAATTACGTTTGCTAGGTGTTTTATTACAGCAAAAGAAGGCTGACTAGGACACCTGTTATCACCTGTGACTCCTGGGACTATTCAACGTGTATTCATTTTGTTTGGTATTCTACTGCCAATTATTTGCTCAAGTTCTAGTCTGAATGAAGACATAAAGGTAAATAACAGAAAAACAGTCAATACAAATGTAAAACTTTTTCTGGTAAAAACTACTGTTCTATTATTGATTCTCTTGACTGAAAACTCATTTCATAGTTTTCAGGTCATTGGACCATGTTCAAACTCTAGAATTTTTCTTTTCTTTTACTGTTGATTTTATTATGCATGTGTTGTGTATGTTTTCTACATACTATGATTTTCCCCTTCCACTTCTCTAGTATAAATACTATTCCCTGTCACCATTCTGTAGGTGTGAATTTTAGAGCACTGGAAATCGTTATGTGCTAAAAAAAAAAAAAAAAAAAAAAAAAAAAACTGTCAGAAGGCAATATAAAGGGGTCTTATCTGTTATTCAACAATTAACTTTTGCGCTTTTATTTTGTGTTTTATTGTATTTGGTTAGATTCCATGAACTCCTTTGAGATATACAATACAATCTTACGAGATGTACCACTTATTCCTGTGAAGACCAAATTCCTGATTATAGTTTTTATAAATACAGGCGCATATCTAGCATTTTTATAGACTGAGTATGTACATCTATTTTTCAAATGTAAATATTATATAACATGTAAATATATGTCAAAAGTGCCAATCACAGTTGCTTGTTGAAATTATGCATAATTCTTTGAGAATTTCAATACATGAGAATTCTATTTGTAATACTTTCATCTCTCACCATCCCCCCTCCAACTCTTCCATGTTCCAACTCCCTCTCAATTTCATGTTACACATACACATATATATTTAAATAGACATATATAGCTACATAAAGATCTATAAATGCAACACAAGAAGTCAAACTTTTTTTTTTGAGACAGGGTCTTCCTTTAGCCAGAGATGGTTTGGACCTCACTATGTAGACCAGGCTGGCCTCAACATCTCAGATGCTACTGCATCTGCCTTCCAAGTGCAGCATGCACCACTACACCCAGCCACTGTATATAACTCTTACTGAAAAGGGCACTAATTTCTTTTTTTCATAAAGAGTAAATAGTTTCATGATGAATCAAAGAACTCTTCCTTTTATAATGAAATGTCAAGTGCTCTGTATTATCAAAATATTGCTCCAAGCCCTCCTTAACCCTGTATGACTGTCAGCTGTCAAGAGAGGTGAAATTGCTAAGTAGGTTGACCAACAGTAAATTCTTATCATTGTTTTTAAAATAATTGTTTAGATATTCATGACTCCATTATTTTACCTTGCATATCCAGAGGAGAGAGACTTCAAAGAGTCATAAAAGTCTACCACAATTTCATTCAAAGGGAAAAGATATTTAAGCATAACTCTATTTTGATCAATAAAAATCATATTTTTCTGAACTGCTCTTCGTGCCTAAAGAAGAAAAAAACTTGATAATTCAAAGATTGATGTAAAATGATAGTTTTTAATAACCAAATTATAAATCCTATAAATAGAAGTAGAAAGAAGGAATCTTAATATTCAATCAAAAATGAGTTGGAGTTTTAATATAGAAAGAACAACCCACTTAATATTGGAATTATGGAAGGTTCGGACCAAAGCTTTTAATCATTATCTTACAACAATTTTATCTTTAAAATTATACTACACTCAATTTCAAGTACATAAAGAGACTAAATCATACTTGAAGTTCCATTGGGATAATGGAACTTCCTTTGTTGAAAATATTCAGTTAATACAGATTATCAGACTTCAAAGTAGTGTATAAATTATATCTCTACTGTATTTACATCTACATGGGTGGCCATAAGGAGAAACATAAAACACTTATTTAACTAAAAACTAAAAACCAATTTTCTCAGCAGAAGAGATGGTATAAAATCTGAGCTGGTAAGCGTTGTTCCAGAGGACTAAAGCCCATTTTTCATTTCTACCTGGCAAAGTGCTATTATTTTTCCAGTGTATTCATCCGGTGTGATAACAGTGCCCAAAACGACCGGCTCCAAATATTCTGTTACTTTTGACTTATCAGGGAACTGGGCGGGGTTGATGACTGTGATTTCCTTCTCTTTATATTCCTAAAAATGGGAAAAGTTAACAGTAGTTAAAAACAACCACTAATATGATATAATTACATTTCTTAAAGGTTTCCTTTCAACTTACAAGACTTTTTAGAATACAGTTACTGAACTTATTGCAATTAATAAAACATAAAAGAACTCAAAAAATTTTTTTGATTTATTTTTATGTATATGAGCTTCCTGCATACATGCATATAAGTGCACCTGTGTGTGCGATGCCCATGTAAGCCTGATGAGGATGGTGGATCCCCTGGAACTGGACTTAATAAGGATGATTGTTAGACATCTGAGTGGTGGGAACTGAATGAACCTGGGCCCTCTGCAAGAGTAGCCAGTCTCTTAACCACTGAGTCATCTCTCTAGCCCCACATAAAAGAACTGGTAAAGGAGAGATTATCACAGCAACACTTTTATTTTAAAAAATGAAAAATCTTCCAATTATTTAATAGTATTTAGCTATATTAATGAATTTTTTGTTACTAAAATGTATGAAACACTTCATGAACTATTTAGAAAAGCATGGCATAACACTATAGTTTAGCTTAATCTCTGCAAGGCATAATAATTAGCATGTGAAATTAATTTGCACGTGCTCAAGGTAATAGTTGTTTAAATTAAATAAAATGCCACTTAAACAGAATATAGTATTGCTTCTATCATTAGTTTAAAACTTAACACTTTTCCACAAGCACACGAATGAATGCTTTATCTTTAACAAGATAAATTACTTATGGGTTACTTATCTTTTTCATCTTTACTGAATTTACAACAGTACTCTCATTATTAATTCTTTTTATGATTAGTACCAGACTAGTTTTGATAACAGATCAAGTTAAGGCCTGAGAGGGTGGGCTCCAACCTCCATCAGTGTAGCAGCTGTGATCTCAACAGAGCGCTAGAGAGTGCCAGACTCTGGCCTCCCTCTGGCATAAAGGCTAAGAATGTAGGGGGGGGACTGCCTGAGAGTGACCAGATCCTGCCTCCATGTGGTGGAGTCCAAACCATAGAAGGAAGCCTGAGTGTACCTGACTGGAACCTGACTTGGGCTTCTGTGGGTATTCCTGAATAACTGATCTGAAGCCATCAGTTCCCTCCAAAATAAAACCTGAGAGAATCTGAAGCCTGTACCAGCCAGCTTTACATAACCAATAAGGAAAGGATCTAGACACCCCAATAATACAAACAGAAGCATACTTCAAATTATTCTCATGCCAGAATCAAAACAAAAGAAATTCACATGCCAAAATCACAGCACAAGAATAAAAAAATGGAAAGCCGAAACACTATGTCCCCACCAAACTCTAACAGTCCTGTAGAAGAGTTCTGTCTTAGTATGTTTCTCCACTGCTGTGACACAACACTCTGACCAATACCAACCTGAGGAGGAAAGGGTTTATTTTATCTTACATTCCCCTGGTCACAGTTCATCAGGGAGCCCAAGGTAGGAACTCAGGGGCAGGAACCTAGAGGCAGGAGCTGGAGCACAGGCCATGGAGGAACATTGCTTACTGGCTTGCTCCCCTGGCCCCTGCTCAGCCTCCGGAGCACAGGCCATGGACGAACACTGCTTACTGGCTTGCTCCCCTGGCCTTTGCTCAGCCTGCTTTTTTATGCAACACAGGCCCATATGCACAGGGGTGGCACCACCCACAGTGGGCTGGGTCCTCCCACATTACTCAACAATCAAGAAGATTCCCCACAGACATGGCCACAGGCTCTCTCAACCTGGGTGTGTCAAGTTGACACTAAAGCTATCCAGCACAAGTACTACAAGGAGAACCCCCTAGAGATACCACAGGACACTGAATACAAAAGAACATGATCATGAAGTCAAAGAATTTAAAGAACACACAAACAAATCAAAGAACTGAAAAAAGATAGGGATAAACGTCTGACTGAATTCACAAAAGAGATAGAAACATTGAAGAAAACTCAGGCAGAAATGAAGAAGGAAGAGCAAAACTCAATAAGCCAACTTGAAACAACAGGGGAACACCTCACCACTAGAGTATCAAGTCTGAAGGATAAAGTTGAAGAAATGGACCACTCAAGCAGCGAGTATGGAAAATTTAAAAACAAACCCAGGAATGGAATATGCAAGAGATATGGGACACCATGAAAAGACCAAATCTATGTATCATAGAAATAGAGGAAGGAGAAGAATTTCAGGTTAATGATATTGACCAGATCTTAAACAAGATTGTAGAAGAGAATTTCCTGAAATTAAGGAAAAACATCTCCCATACAAATACAGGAACCACAAAGAACACCAAATAGATAGGATCAGAAAAGAAACTCTCCACGACATATCATAGTAAAAATACTAAATGTACAGAAAAAAGAAAGAATACTGAAAGCAGCAAAGAAAAACAAGTCACATACAAAGGAAATCCCATCAAATTACAGCTGACTATCAATGCAAACTAAGAAAGCCAGAAGAGCCTGGACCAAGGTACTTCCAGTTCTACACAACAACAGATGCCAACCTAAAATGCTTTACCCAGCAAAAATGTCTATTATACTTGAGGGGGAAAGAAAAATCTTCCCTGACAGGAATAGCCTAAAAGAATACACGTCCACAAAACCAGCCCTTCAAAGAATACTTGAAGCAATACAGAGAATGGAGAGAGAAACAAAACAAACCTCAACAAATACAAAAAAAACCTGAAATAATTCCATAAACTCTTTCAGACCACAATGCAATAAAGCTCAAAGTCAACAGTGGACAAAGTCCTAATCACTAAATGAACTCCTGGAAATTAAACAATACACACCTAAACAATGAGTGGGTCAAAGGAGAAATTAAGAAATAAAAGAATTCCTGGAATTCAATGAAAAGGACAACACAATACAACCTCTGGGACACTTTAAAAGCAGTCCCAAGAGGGAGGTTTATAGCTGCATGTGCCTATATAAAAAAATTAGAAAGAGCTCAAAAAAATGACCTAACTCTGCAACTTAAAACACTGGAAAGGCAAGAACAAATAAAACCCAAACCCAGCAGAAGAGAATAAAAAAAAAAAAAAAAATCAGACCAGAAATAATGAAATAGAAACAAAGAAAACAATACAAAGAATCAAAGAATCTAAGAGCTGGTTCTTTGAAAAGCTAAACAAGATAGACAGACCCTTAGCCCAATTAACCAAACTAAGAAAGAGCAAATCCAACAAAATCAGAGATGAAAGGGGAAACATCACAACAGACACCCAATGATCCAGACCATTATAAGGGAATGTTTTAAAAACCTATACACTACTAACTTTGAAAATCTAAAAGAAATGAATGGATATCAAAAATCATGGGAACCACCAAAGTTAAACCAAAAAGAGATCAACAGTTTAAACAGACCCATAACAAATAAGAAAATGGAAACAGTAATACAAAGCCTCCCAACTAAAAGAAGCCCAGGCCCTGATGGATTTACAACAGAATTCTACCAGACATTTAAAGACCTCAAATCAATATTACTTAAATTATTCGAAATGATAGAAACAGAGGGAGAACTCCCAAATTCCTTCTATGAAGCCAGCATCACTCTCATACCAAAGCCTGGTAAAGATACAACCAAAAAAGAAAACTATAGACCCATATCCTTAATGAACATAGATGCAAAAATTCTCAACAAAATACTTGCAAACCGCATACAGACACACATCAAAAAGATCATTCACTGTGATCAAGTAGGCTTTATCCCAGAGATGCAGGGATGGTTCAATATATGTAAGTCAATAAACATCATTAATCATATAAATAGAGTCAAAGACAAAAAACACTGTCATCTCAATTGTTGCAGAAAAGGCTTCTGACAAAATTCAGCATGCATTATGTTCAAAGTCCTAGAGGGAATTGGACTGGAGGGAACATATATCAACATAATTAAAGCCATATATATAACAAACCCACAGACAAGAACATTCTAAATGGAGAAAAACTGGAAGCATTCCCAATGAAATCAGGAACCACATAGGGCTGTCCACTATCTCCACTCCTTTTCAACATAGTGTTTGAAACTCTTGCTAGAGCAATAAGACAGGAGAAGGAAATTGGAAAAGAAGAGGTCAAACTATCATTTTTTGCAGATGATATGATACTATACCTAAGAGATCCCAAAAGTTCCACTAGAAATCTCCTAGAACTGATCAATACTTTCAGTATAGTGGCAGGTTATAAAGTCAATCTACAAAAATCAGTAGCCTTTCTAAAATACCAATAACAGGCAACTGGAGAAAGAATACAGGGAAATGCTCCCATTCACAATTGCTACAAAAAAAGAGAAATATCTTGGAATAGATCTCTACAATGACAATTTTAAATCATTAAAGAAAGATATTGAGGAAGACACCAGGTGATGGAAGGACCTCCCATGCTCATGGATTGGAAGAATATTTTGAAAATGACCATCCTATCAAAAGCAATATATAGATTCAATGCAATCCCAATCAAAATCCCCATGACATACTTCACAGAATTAGAAAAAAAAAAAAAAATCCTTAAATTCATATGGAAGCACAAAAGACCCCGGACAGCCAAAGCAACCCTGAGCACAAAGAACAAAGCTGGGGGATTACTATACCAGATCTTAAAGTATACTACAGAGCTATGGTCATAAAAACAGCATGGTACTGGTGCAAAAACAGACACATAGATCAATGGAACATCACTGACAATCCAAACCCAACTACATGCAATTTCAGCCATCTGATATTTGAAAAAAGTGCCAAGAACACACAATGGAAGAAAGACAGCATCTTCAACAAATGGTGCTGGCAAAACTGGATCTCCACCTACAGAAGAATGAAACTATATCCTTACCTTACTTTTTAAAAAAATATTTAATATTTTTATTTTATGTGTATGTGTGTATTGCCTGCATGTAGGTAAGTGCACCCGTGTCGTGCAAAGCCCAAGGAGGACAGACAAGGCTGTCAGATCGCCTGGAACTGGAGTTACAGACAGTTGTTAGCTGCCATGTGGGTGATGGGATTCGAACCCACCCGGGTCTTCTGAAAGAAGTTAGTGTTCTTAACCTCTGAGCCATCTCTCCAGCCCCTGATCCTTATCTTTCACCTTGCACAAAAGTTAACTCCAAAAGGATCAAAGACCTCAATGTGAAACTAGAAACCATGAAATTATTAGAAGAAAATATTGGCAGTAACTTATAAGATATAGGTGTAGGAAAGGATTTTCTAAATTGGATAGAAGTTGCTCAGGAATTAAGGTCAGCAATCAGTAAGTG